AGCATGTGGAGCCTCCACCCTGCTGAACTGTCCATTAGCAAATCCCTGAATCCCCGCTCGTTTCAGGGATGCTCTTCTGTGTTTGACCTCTAACCTCCACTGGGAGGCAGTGGGAGGATAAAAGAGGATTTCCCTCCAGGATGCAACGGACGACTGTTATTAAAAACATTTGGCAACCTTTGTATTGTAAGGTTTAATAATGGAAATCCTATTATCGTGAGACTATTTGTGTATGTTTGCTGAACCTAGTCGATCATCTTTAAAAAGAAATGATTTAATTCGTGAAGTGTTCGATACGTCACATTTTTCATTTCATCAGTATTGTAATTTTTTTAAGTGATACTCAGTGTAATAAATTGATTTCCGTCTGAGCTCTCTGTCCATAGCCACTCTGAGGTCTTGAGCAGCGCCCCACCCACGGCACGATCTGACTAGTCTGGTTACACATCACAAGTACTGGCCTGTCAGCGCTGAATAATACATGCTGAAAAGCTTCTTCAATTAAACATATGTAAAATAAATAATAAACAAAGGCATTCTGACTAAATTTTGTCTTGGAGCTTGCGTTTTTACCATTTTTAAGACCAAGATTTCCATGACTGCGATGATACCGTACCGACCTGTCAATCACAATGTAGCCCCGCCCTACAAACATACACTGATTTATTCTTGTTTATTTTCCTCTAAATTGGACCGTCATTACAAAATGAACATCATGCTGTATTAAGGGAGATTCAACACTAGTGACTGAGACCATAAGCTTAATAAGAGGGCGTTAACTGAGGTAGCAGATCAGTTGAAAAGTCGGGTCATTTTCTCATAGATTTCTATATGATCGCCTCCTGCTGGTCATTAGAAAGAATGCCGGCTTCACTTTTTTTTTAATATTTCCAGAGCTTACATCCATCTTTTATACAATCTATGACTTGAACAACTGAATGTTTAACTGTCATGATAGCTGGCTTACAAATGTCAATGACCCAGTTTGGCAAAAATGCTAATAATTGTCATGACTCTGACACAAAGCGGAGATTATTTTGTTTCTTGCTGGAGTTTGACGTCAAGCAGATTTTGACTATTCGCTGCACAAATAGGCTACATTGTTAATTTTAACCAGTGTTTGTTAGCAAGTCACTTAAAGCTACTGCGACTGCTTTATAACAAAACAAAATAAGTTAGCTACAGTAGCAGACCATGTTTTCGTAATGCCCAATACCATGCTTCTAATTAGGTCGTGTCTCTCTACAGGTGATGACGACAGGCCATTTTTGACGGCACTACTCAGGTATCGATAATTCTGTCAGGCCTTGAAACACTGCTGTAGGAATGCTAATTGGTTAAACTCAGAGGAAACAACAGCTGATTGGTTAAACTGGAAGAGGACAACAAGCGCCATTTTTCAAGTGTTCTCTTTTCTAACATCTTAAAATTCACTTTATAGACTTTAACACAACAAACCCACCATTGTCTTACTTATGTCCAGTAACTACTTGTTGTCATTGTTTTGGCGCGACCAGAGAGACGCTATTGGATGAGACACTGCAATGGAAACAGAAAAAGAAGCAAAACCTGAAGATTACATTCACGCCACGTTTGCCTCGGGTTCAGGACTACGCATGGTGCTCAGACACCAACGGTCATGACCTTACCTTGGTGTATGCTAATGTGGAAGTATAACCAGAGATATTCAAAGAGAGAGACTCGTGACTGAAGGAAGCCTGAATAGAAATCAGAAAACCAGCTCCCTCCACAACACCAATCATCTACTTCGCTGGGAAACATCCAGCCAATTGTTGCAGTGACTCAAGCGTGGTGCGCTACAAACTGTTGGGGAAAAAAAACTTATTTCAGGGCAAAGCACCAAGTATTTTTTTCTCATAGTTCACTGGTGATTTTAAACATGCTGTTTATCCAGACAGGGGACCTTTGAAGTTGCACTCATGGAGTCTCCCTATTCTTTCAGCTAGGGACCGGGTCTTAGTAGCCTGAAATAACTGCCTGGGGGCAAAACCAAAGATGCCTTATGAGTAGTCAGAGTTGACGACAAGAACTTTCTTATAAATAAATCAGAACTGGGCTAAAAAGAAGAACAGCAGACAGAGGGACAGTAGGAAAAGAAAGCTGTATGAGTTTGGACTCATTTTGTGTTGTATTAGTCAAGTTTATGATACAGACTGTATTATCCATTAGAAATAAATACATCAATATTGTCTAATAAAGACTTAACAGTTGACTAATTTTAAGAAAATCTGTTTTCTGTAAGTGCATATTAGTAGTTGTTCCATCTTCAATCCTCCTGATCTTCAAACCTCCATTTAAAATCCTAACAGGACTTCGACGGTGCACGTTTGCTCCTCAGATGCTCTGCAGCAGCCGAGATTTCAACTGAGTTTTTCATTTAGTTGATTCTGGTTCACACACAGTTTTTTTTATTTTTTTTTACACAAATAAATTGAGTATTGACTCCCAGTGGAGACTAAAATAAACAAAACTGCTAACGTGTAATAGCTTATGTGGATTAGGGCAAGAAACGAGAAACTGCAAATAGTGCGGAACGACTCTCATAAGACCGTCGAACAGCAAAAACAGGAAAGAGAAAAATGTCCGGGGAGTTCCTTCCCTGATGATTCAATGCCAAAATCTGTCTCTGTTCCAAGAACTGGCAAGTTAAATGATGTTTCTCTGCCTTCCTAATCGAGCAAAGAAATGTGGTCAAGGAGCAATTATCTTGCTCCAAATTACATCCTGGTCTTTTTCTCTGACTTGCTTAAACATAATAAACGATCCATTCCTGAAGGGGCACCGGCGAATTCTCCTCACTGCATCCTCATAAACACATGCATCGCATATCACTGGCCTACATTTTCCCAGGCCTGAGGCTGCACCTTTCAGTTGTGTATAATAAATATTTTAATTTCAAACTATCAAATAATAATGAAAACTCCAAGAGTGATTTCCGCTTGAAATAAATTCAGACGTGCACAGACACTGAGACAAAACCGGTTTAAAGTGAGGAGGCCCACTTGGTCTCCTACATACAGAACCCAGCTGGAGCTGTTTTAAGACATACTGCAACAAAAACCAATGTCAGTCTAAAGGCGGAGGATGCCATGGGACGGCTAGGTCAAGGCCAAGTGTGCCAGTGTTTCTATTTTGGGCGCATGAATGACTTATTTAAACCGTCCTACCCCCATGACGTCAACAACACTCACAACGTCCCAGCGTCTGGCCGAGCAGACTCTCAGCCTTCTGTGCATGTGTACACTGGTGTGTTTTACACATTTGACCACGCCGATGCAGCGTGTGCACGAAAACATGCCGGCCTCGTCAGCACAGTCTGCACATATTTGCAAGTTTCTGCACTCACGGTGAGCTCTACCTGCGGTGTGTTGTGCGCCGCTCCCTGCTCTGCAGTTGTGAAAATTACAGCTCCATCCAGGCCTTCCCGCGTCGATCAGCTGAGCCAAATCAAGAAGCACTCGAAGGAACAATCGGCGAGTGTGAAAGTAGCAGTTTTTCATCTTTTTTGGCAGTTTGCATTGCAAAGGGAACGTTGAGGCCCCACAGCCAACAGTGTTGGATGCTGACTGTTCTAGCATGATCTTATGCGTGAGTGAGTGATTAATTCAGCCTCGTATGTGCGAGTGTGTGTGCGTGCGTGTGTGTGTGTGCGCGCGTGTTGCTATGGTAACTTGGGTGTAGGTTGGGTTGCCCCATGGAGAACGAGCTCGCTACAAGGCCAGAAGCCCGGCCTCTTGGGACGGCGAGCGCTGGCGGTTAATGCTGCCAGTTCAAGGCCAGGGCATGCGTTAGGCAGCTGGATGACATCTGTCTCTGCACCTGACTGCGTGTGACACAATGTGAGTTTACAGTTCCTAAGTATATGTCTTTTATCTACAGGCATTGCCGGGAAAATAGCACATAAAAAATGAGCATGAATTGCCGATTGGGACGCTGTCCAGTCCTCTCTCCCTCCCTGCGCACACACACTGCTGACGGCCCTGGAGTCACTCCAAGCTTCCCGCTGGCCTGCGTCTGCTGCTTCAGCCTTAATGCCCTGCCTTGTATTAACACGCACAGAATAACAAATGTAATTAACTCTCAGTGAGATTTAACCGGTGGAATGAGACGAGCAAGCACCAAAAAAAAAAGAAAAGAAAAAAAAAGCCACAGAGTGAAGAGACGGGGAGATTTTAAGGTGACGACAGCTGCAGGAAGGAAGGGCAACAAAACTGGCAGCGAGAAAGGGAGGAGAAGGCTTTCCTCAGAGTGAAATGTAGCTGCATGTGAATAATTTAACCTTAAGGGGAGAAGCCCCTGAAAGCCCAGTGGACATCTAGAATAGGACGATCCACCCGACACACTAATTAGAGTGCTCTGCTGTTCCATCACATTATTAATGTGCCTTAATTAAGGCATTAATAACGGCACGCTTTTTCGATTCTGCATAATGTCCTCGGTGTCACAAGAAGCTTTCTGACAAGCTGTTATTGTTTGCCGCCGCCGCTGCCTGCTGTAGCTCAACTTCTTTCTGCTGCAGAAAACCATGGCCACGGGGTCGCATTAACTCCCTCACACTGCTCGCCACAAACGACTGATGATGCTCAGCGGCAGCGATTTTAGCCCTCGCCAAAGAAAAAAAATTCTTGTTCGCTGTAGATTTGAATTGAATCAAATAGAGTTAACAAGGGAGCGTTTTCTACTTTTTTCCAAATGAGAGAACTTCAAAAAGCTCAACTACAGAGAGCACAGCTGCTCCCGCAGGAGTCCCTGCACAGTGTAGGACGCACACACACAAGAACCCAAATGTGCACAAATAAACGCAAAAAGAAAGAACGAACTCTCTTTACACTCCAATGCACACAAATAATTTGCCCATCACAGAAATTGAACAAATGGGCTTTTCGGGGCAGACTATTTCGAAACTAGAAGATCTGAAGGATGCCGTGGAGAGAAGGAGGTCACCAGAGCGAGAAAGGACAAACAAGACACTAACTCACCTGCTTCCAGTTGTCGTAAATGATGACTTTGCTGTCCTCGTCGTCCACCGTCACTGTGCACTCGTAGCCCTCACCTGCGAATAAACACCCAGAGCAGCATTAAAAGCACAGTACGTACAGCGTGACACTTAAAACCAGGGGTGCGATGGGTTAAATCACTAAATTTGCTTAAGTAAAACGCCTGCAGGTTCAACTGCTGCCTCGAAATGTTGTTAATCCAAGTCTTACAAAATGTCCTTGACCTGCTCCACAAATCTTAAATCAGTTTCTGTGAAGATTACTCAGAAGAGTCTGAATGCACTGAGGCTGTCTGGGGCCAGCTGATGTGTTTATGAGGACGTTCTTGTTTGGACATTTTTATATTTAAAGGCTTGTAAGGACGTTTCAGTCCATCTGTCAGTCCGGCCAGATCTGTGGCTCTCAGCTCCAAACCCATTTATTCTCACTGAAGAGGCAAATCTTTAAAAATGGGTCACTAATATATATGTTTTTTTCATTTTCAACAAAGGTAAAAGTAATTTTTTAAAACTCCCAGGTATTAGTTGAAGCGGGACTATTTTCAGCAGCGGATTTATTGTCTGTGGGCGCACCAGCGAGTACATGAAACTGTTAATCTACAGTTTATCGTGATGAGTGCGAGTCCTCCTGTGCATCTTTTTGAACAACACAGACCTACTTGTTGTTGGGATCAATTGGTCGGTCATTTCACGGGATTTGCTTGCAATAAAAACAATCACCTTTTCGGGAAAAATGCTTCATTTTGGAGCTTTTATTAGCTGTAATGTGACTGCAGTGCTTCCATTCTGAATATGTTAAAAACATTGTGGGTGTATTGAGCAATGACTCACACACCCTTGCAAAATGTACCACCTGCAGTTTTTAGGATAGACTATAACCCAAAATCTGCTCAGATGACATTGGAAAAGTCACTATGATGAGCACGTCATCTATTTTAAGGCATCAGATCACCCAGTCCCCCGGTGTTAACTAGTGACTGGTGTTTACTCGTAATTACTTGGCGAAGGCGTGTATTGTTCGGTAAGGTGTGATTCCACTCACAGCTGATACAATGCAAGAGCATCTGTTGAAAACCATCAAAAAAAATGTTAATTAAATAGGTGTTGGGTAGTTTTTTTTTTTCTCACACTTTGCGATTTGCAGTGGAATATTTTAGCACCTTGCATAATGAGAGCGCCATTGTGGAAACACGTACGAGCATCTTGGGTGAAAGTGCTTTTTTCTGTCCATTTATGATGCATGAATCCCAGTGTACAACATAGGAAGTAATGAATACTGTATGGCCCGAGTCAGGGGCAAGCCGGCTTTACGCAAGAGGGACACCAGTCGCCTCTTAGTGACACTGACTTATCGATCGGCCGGTCGAAGGCTTGAGGAGCAGAGCTGATTATCACCGAGCGGTGTGACAGATAGACCTTCTGACTGGCAGAGGCCACGGGGGAGGGGAAAGAGAATCAAGACCGTCTTTAGCAGATATAATGCGAGATGTATCAAGATAGAAATATACCTACAGGCAACACAGCCAATAACCATACGTACCCTTTGGGTAGCCGTGGAGATCTGGGCTGCCCACAGCTTCCTATAAAATATTAATCTACAGCTAGCAGCTGGTTACCTTAGCTTAGCATTAAACCAGCAAACAGGAGGTGCTGCTGTTGATTGGTCCACACCAATCTGTCTGATGCCGGTATATTAAATATGTAAGTAAAGCATATAAACAGGGAAAAATGACTAACCTGTAGATTTCTGGGAGCAGCTGCCAAGAAATCTGGGTTTTTCATACCTATTAAACTAACAAGATATAGTGTGTAGTTAGATATAGTTTGTTTTTTAACCTTAAGACAAAGTCAAGCTAACTATTTTTGCCTTTTGCTTGTTTTATTTGGTGCACATCATTCTTGTCCACATGATGCGTGTTTATTGTGGCGACGATCTTCTCATCCAACTATCGCCACGGCAGCGAATCAGCAATTACCACAATGTTTCCTTTTAAATGCATTAAAGGTCCTATATGATGGAAAAGCCATGTTCATTGTATTTTGTGGTTAACTTGGAAGTGCGAAATAAAAGCTGTTAATATATGAAGATGTTTACAGCAAAGCCTCCCTGGTTTACAAGCGAGTAAGAATTCCACCCAGGTGCTACGTAATGCTTAACCAACCGATAGTTTTCTTCCTGAAGGGGGCGGGAACAGCAGCAGCTCATTGGTTTTCAGAGCAAAACAGCCCTAAAACCAGTGGTTAAACAGCAAATAAACTGAAACTATGAGGACATGTGAGACTTGGATTCATTTGCAAAATTGAGGCACAATATGAGACCTTTAATGTCTAAATCGATGTTTGGGTGAACTGATTTTAAGGCTGGATGAGGAAAGGAGACGCTGATTTTTTACGAATTCTACCTCCAGAATAAGTGTCTGAATAAAGCTTTTCTAAAGGTCAAGTCAAGTCAGGTTACTGTTATTTATACAGCGCATATAAAGCAACAGCTGCTGAGCCAGAGTGCTTTCTAGCAGAGAGGAAAGACTGCAAATTCACCTGAAAAGTTTAAATCCTGAGGTTAAGCGCTTACTCCATTACTTCTATGTGAGTTTATCTGAGTAATTTAAATATTGGGGTTAGGGCCACACAATGGGGTTAATTATGCAAATTGTCCTGACTCTGTAAAGGTAAACCTTGGAGGGGCATTAAAAAAGTTCACATTCCCAACGATGTCCAGGCCATTACCACATGCTTGCGTTTCTGAGTCTATGGAGAGGGATCTGTCCGACTGCCCGGCCAACGATAAGGCCAACGACGACTTGCCCACGCCGTTCTGTCCCAGCAGCACTATCCTCAGCGCCCCGCCGTGGCTCTGGTAAGCTGGCTGGGCGGCTGCCGACTGGCTGAAGGACTCGTCTCGAGGCACCGCTGTGTCACTGATAGGCAACGTGGTAGGCTCCTCCGAGCCCGGGATCCAATCACAGTCCTCGGATACGGCCTCTTCCCGTCGCAGCTGGTGCTTGACAGGCAGGGGCGTGCTCCCTCGCCGGAGGGGGGGCGCCGTGGTGAGAAACATACTGTACTGGAATGAAATAGAGACAGAAAAAAAAAAAAAAGACAGGCTTATGTGTAAGTCTAGAAAAGAGCCAAAGGGCGTGACGACATACGGTGCTGCTGGCGGCGGTTTATTCCTTTGGCTTTGGAATCGTTGTAAAGTTCCAAACAGGCTGCAGATCTACCTGTAACGCTGTCTGCTCTAGTCGCTGTTAGCGCCGGAGAACGAGGGGAAGGGTGTTCCGACTTCGTGCAAAGAAGTGCGAGGTGTTAACAATGAAGGTGAGACAAATGAATGGCAGGGCGAGAGAAAGATGCTGATGAGGAGGAGGAGGAGGAGGAAGACACAGGAGCTGCTGGAAGAATGACGGAATATAAAAGGACGTGAAAAGACATCTGGCTGAGGTGGAGACGAGAGAAAGAGAAAGAAGCACTAGAGACAGAAGAAGAGAGATGCCATCTGTGTGTAATAAGTGTGGTCAGGTGGCTCCGCTCTGTACACTGTGTACATCAGGAGAGCAGCATGAATTCACATGAATATAGGTCAAAACATAAAGTCTTGATCTAAATCCCCAGTTATTTCAAAAGAGGAATATGCACAGAGGCTGTTTTCCCCAGAACAATAGTTTGAAAACCTGTGAGTGTGGGTAAGCCTGGCGTGCAATAGTGTGTGTGTGTGTGTGTGTGTGTGTGTGTTGTGCAGCCTCAGCAGGTCAACCATGGACGACCCTCATCAATATTAATACAGCAATTAATCTAGCTCCAGCAGCACCGCTGGGCATCTGCGGCTCGGTGTCTGCCGGTGGCAAAGCTAAGTACAGTATTGGCACTTAATTAAAGGGGATTGACACAATAACTGCAGCACACTAGAATATAATATAATCCAGTTCAGCACCACCGTCGAGCAAAGTCTCGCAAATTACATCGAGCTGAACACCTCTTATTCAGGGGCTGTCATGGAAAACTAGGTTAGGGTTTACCTCAGCGATGTCGTACCGGATTGGATTACATCGTTAGATCGTACCGGTGCGCTTAATAAACTGGGAACTTTGCCTTCTGTAGTGGAAAGAGTTTGGCTTTGCTTTGTTTTCAGGGCTTCCTCTGAATATTGCATACAGAGCTTAGCATAGCATTAGTACCGTCACATGCTGTAAATATGCAGTTGAATAATAGAAATATACATATTGCACATGACTATAGCGTAGTATGCCTTCTCCTAGTAACTGTAATGTAGTATAAACAGGATAGTGAAGTTCAGTAAAGTATTTTGTAATGTAGTATAGTATTCTATAGCATAGTACTGTATAAATGTGTAGCAGAGTATAGTGTTGTATTTTGTGATGTACTATAAAATAAAGTGTAGTTTAATATAATATGTATATTGGTGTAGCATAGTCGTGTTATTTGACATTCTGGAATATAGCATAGTGTATTGTTGCAGTACCGTATAGTATCATTTAATGCAGTGTAGTATAGTACTGTGTCTTGTAGTTCAGTAAAGTGCAGTGTAGTGTAAAATATAAAATATACTTAAATGCAGTATCATGAAAGATAGTTTCTATAGATACAGTAACACAAAATAGCATAAAATACTGCTGTATAGTATATGTCTAACAGTGTAGTACTGTGTAACGTACTGGACTACAATATAGTGTAATGTTGTAATGTATTGTTTTATAGTGTAATATTTGAGGTGTAGTGCAGTATAATACGGTACAGTGTCATACAGTATGGGTTAGGAGGCTTTATAACAGTGTGTTGTGTATACTACTGTATAGTATATACCAGTGTAGTGATGTGTAGTATATTGCCAAATGATGTGATATAGGTTAGCAGGCTATATAACGGTGTAGAGTTGTTTGGTATAGCATTGTGTAGTGTAGTCTGGCATACTATAGCATACTATGCTAGAGGACATAGTCACATACAGTTATGTAGTACACTATAGTATAGGTTAGTAGAATATATAATGTGTTGTGCATACGATTGTATAGTATAGTATAGTATAGCGTAGTATTTAACAGTGTAATATTGTGTGGCATGTTATTGTGTATGGTATTGTACAGTACAGGTTAGTATACAACAGTATAGTGTTGTGCAGTATATGGTGGTACAATACAGAATAGAATAGTAAAGTGTGTTATGGTATAGGTCGTAGTATAGTATAGTATAGTATAGTATAACATAGGCCATAGTTTAGCATAGCATAGCATAGCATGTAGCAGTGCAGTGTTTTGTGGCATATTATTGTGTATTGTGTAGTACAGGTTAATATATAACAGTATAGTATTGTGTAGTATATTGTTGTACAGTACAGCATAGAACAGTAAAGTGTGGTATGCTGTAGGCCATAGTATAGCATAGTATAGTATAGGTCAGTAGGCTATATAACAATATGTTGTCTATACCACTGAATGGTTTATAGCACTGTGGTTATGGATATAAGATATATACATTGCTGATAGTATAGCAGAGTAGAGTATAGTACAGTATAGTATAGTGAAATATAGTATATAACAGTGCAATGTTGGAGGGCATTGTATACCATTTAACAATGTCATGTTTAGTGTAAAGTTGTGTAGTATGGAGTAGTACAGGTTGGAAGTATATAACCATGTTGTGTTGGCGGATGTATTTTTGTATAGTACAGTATGGTGTAGCAGAGTATAATATAGTATAGTGTAGTATAGTATAGTAGAGTATAGTATAGTATAAGACAGTGTAGTTTATGACAATGCCATGTTGCAATGTATTATTGTGTACTGTCTGACATGTAGTGTGTTGTAGTGTAATGCTGCACAGCTTGGAATACTACAGGCTAGTACTGTCCAACCATGTGTTGTGTAGCTCATGTGTATTTGTACAGGACAGTATTGTAGTTACTGTCAGATAATACTGGAGGTGTGGCTGTTGGTGACACTTGTGTAGCTGGTTACACACCCTCTGTCACACACACACACCAACACAAACACGCTTCTCACTCAGGTATTAGGTTAATTGAACGCACAAATCAATTAGTCTTCCTTCATTGTGCGCTGCGCTCAGGGGAGCTGCACGCGCACCGCCAGGGGCCCGTGACCGCAGGCTGAGCTGGGTGTCAGGGGTTAATCTGCTTCTCCCGCCAGGCTGTCGAGAAACTGGGCCAAACAGCAGCGCACAATACAAAATTAATACTACAGGCAGTGTTTTCATTCTTTCATCGTTACAACCCACTGACACTACTGCTGCCTCTGCAAGCCCGGTTAGTCTGCTGTACTTCTGACTCTAAGCGTCTGTGGAATTAAACTGGGGATCACACAGATCGATGGATCAACCACCTGGTTAATCATTTACAACAGGGGTTTCCAATCCTGGTCCACGAGGGCCACAATCCTGCGTGTTTTAGATGGTTCCCTCTTCCAACACACCTGACTCAAATCATCAGCTCATCATCAAGAAGCCTGATAACGATCCTGATCATTTGAATCAGGTGTGCTGGAAGAGGGAAACATCGAAAACATGCAGGATTGGACAACCCTGATTCACAAGAAAGCACAGAAGCAAACCCCAAACCACGTCTCAACTATTGGGGGGGTCATAATTGATGACAGAAAATCCAATATAGAGAGTAAAAGCATCACAAGGCACCGAAAAGACGCGTAAAAGTCTCCACTGAGTAGCTGAAGCACGCTCAAAGTCCACATGATAATGCGATTATTCACACAAAAAACCTCGGGGAGCAACAAATGCTTCATATTCTACACTGGATTCCCACATGGAGACAGTCCAACTGGGAGAAGCCAAAGTGTGCAGCAGAAAAAAACAAACAAACGATCAGGTGCGTGTTTGTCTGTCGCGGCTATTGTGCAGAGCGCGCACACGAGAGGTGGAAAACATTAGTCGCCTTACCTGGTCAGCCATGGTTGTCGATAAGTCTTCTCTTTGTGGAAACTGTGCGCTTCAAGTCATCTGTGCTGGCTGCAGACCCGGCATCACACTCACAAAGGCGGCGACGCACGGCGCACAAAAGAGACGCGCCAGGACTGATTTGACATGTTCTCGACTCCCCCCTCCAATCCCGCGCGTAAAAATCTCCCCCTCTTCTGCTCACTGGGAAGGAGAGGTGGGACACTGGTTGTAGTAGTAGTAGTAGTAAAAGGGTGGAGGTGGATGGAGGAGGCTACACCTTAGCTTGGAATAACAGGCTTCTAGGAAGAGGGAGGCTATCGGCACCAGCACACGTCCCCTCCTGTCCCTTTGGAGTCCCAGCAGTTACTGCCTTCCCACCTCCACTTAATACCTGCATCTCCCGCCCTCCCTCTCTCTTTCCCTCTCTCTATCTCTCTCTCTCTCTGCTAAGTGTGTTGGGGGGCGCGTCCTTGGGTTGAGTAGGATGGAGTGATCCTCCAGCGGGTTGGGTCGGAGGTTGGACGGAGGGCTGATGAGGAAGTGAAGCCTCTCACCTCCTTCCTACAGCGCCAATATCAACCCAGACGCGCAGGTTCCTCCAGACGTGCCTTTGTCCAACACCAGGTTTGGACTTCTCCCTCCCCGATGCGTTTCATTCAGCTTGGACGGTGGCGCAGTAGTTGTGGTGGCCGCCAGGGGGCGGCAGAGAGACGGAGGGATGAGGTTTTACAGTGCTGACTCCACCTTAGACAAATAATATAAAGCAGCATTCATAATGAAGATTTTTTTTCGTCATGTTTGCAGAGGAAGAGAAGAGCTGATGAGCTTTCATTGGGATTTAAAGGGGCAATCCATCAATTTTACACATGAAGGGAAGTT